CTAGTTCATGCATGTAGTGCTAAGCCATGGTTTAGTGCAGCATTAAAACATGGTTGAATAAGAATGTTTTTCTTATTTTCTGAAGTATTCTATTTAGTGTAATATACAGTCGTACCTTGGAAGTCGAACGGAATCCGTTCTGGAAGTCTGTTCGACTTCCAAAATGTTCGGAAACCAAAGCACGGCTTCTGATTGGCTTCAGGAAGCTCCTGCAGCCAATCGGAAGCCGTGGAAGTCCCCCGGATGTTCGGCTTCCAAAATCCACCTCAACCTGGTATTTCTCGTTTGGGCTTACGGCATTTGAGAGCCAAAATGTTCGAGAACTAAGCTGCTCGAAAACCAAGGTTTTGATATATTTTAGTTGGGATGAGTCAAGGCTCCTTTCAGGTTGAAGTATGATAAGTTTCTTATTCCTTATGTGTGGCTGGAGGGGACAGAACAAGGTAAAGCATATTGTCTCCAAACAGCCTGCTTATTTTCTAATTATTGTTTCTACTTTGGTATTATTTGTTTTTAAATTTTAATTATAATATGGTTATTTTTGCCATCTGTTTTTGTGTACACATACTGAATATAACTGCATTGTTACTCTTTTTAGTGGCTCAACTGCAGTTGGGTTTTGATTGCTTCAGTTAATCTTAGTACTAATTGAAGGGTTTGTTCTGTGTTCCAGAAGTAACTGTTTGAGGAAGCTGCTTTTATAATGTCTGAGCCACACCCTGAGCTATTATGTATAAGAATAGAAAAAGGAGCTAATTATAAGTACCATTGCAGCATCCGTTAACTGTAGTTAATTATACCTAGTAGCCTATTAATGGAAATGAAACTATAGTCATTCTGTCTTGCACAACCTCCGTTTTGCAGCAGTGTTTAATTTATATAGTTAATAGTTTAATTTAAATAGCTAAAATAAAACAAGCCAACTTCAAACTGTTTTTGAAACTGGCTTGTTATCTGAAGAAGTGTACATGCACATGAAAGCTCATACCAATAACTAACTTAGTTGGTCTCTAAGGTGCTAATGGAAGGATTTTTTTTATTTCGTTTCATTTATTTTGTTTTGTTTCAGCTAACGCTGGATAATGTTAACCACAGTTCCGGATCCAAGCATGAACAAATGCTGAAACTAGAGCTTCTAAACCATGATTTAACATGGCATGAAAATGATAGTTTCTTCAGTGCAGAATATTGCATTGCAAAAATAGGAAAATGGGAATAAGATGCTGTAGAAAAAGTATAGATGTATTTCAAAGAGTGAGTCTACAATGTTACACTTTTGTCATCGTGTTGAATAAGAGAAATGCTTAAATGCACAATTCCGCAAATGCACTAAGGGTGTTAGGAACGCACGGAGGTGAACAAGTTACTCTGAAGTGGTACTTGAAGGTGGAAGCTAATTGGAGCTAGCAGGGGTCCTAGGCTAAAAGGAGAAATACCAGGTTGAGGTGGATTTCTTCCTCTTTTTGCTTTGTCAGCTTTCCAGGAACTGTTCAAGGGAAGCTTCTTCTGAAGATTGATCAGGAAATTCAGCTGGTACAGAATGGGCTTTTTCTGCAGTGGCTCCCCATTTGTGGAATGCTCTCCCAAGAGAGGCTCGCCCGGCACCTTCATCACATATCTTTATGTGCCAGGCAAAAACTTTCCTCTGTAATCAGACCTTTGGCTGCTTACATCTTTTAAATGTGTTGTGGGAGAGGGTGGGGGTGTTATTGGTTTGTTTTGGTTCTTGTTTTGATTAGGTATTTTGTACTTGTATTTTTTAATCTTGTATTTTTTATGTGGTGAACCGCCCTGAGATCTACGTATGGATGGAGGGTGGTTGTAGCAGACTCACCCCGCTAACTGCACCCAATTACATATAGCAGACCCACCGCACAGTACGCCAGTTAAACAAATTTGTACAATTAACACAGGCTAACTTGTGGGGGTCTTGTGAGAGGGAAAGTTTGATTCAGAGTTGATAAACAAGTTTTATTCACAAAAAAAGGGGTTTGGTGAAACAAAGTTGGGTCAGGAGGTGTGTTCTTTCAGGTAGAAGTTAAGTTATTACTTAAACTAAATAAAAATGTCACAGGCTTAAACACAGTATATGGACAGCTTTTCTTAAACTTCAGTTGCTCAGTAATCAGTTGTAACATTCAAATCAGAACTAATTCTCCCTCAGACAAACCCTGTCCTAATCCTTTGCTCCCATCTCAAATCCAGCCCTTATCCAACTCTCTCCCTCAGAAACGGCTCCTTTTATTTTCCCTCCCAAAGTGCTGGCTCCACCCCCTTCTGGCTGGCTGTCTTGGTAGCCAATCAGAGAGGTGCTCCATCCCTTTGGTGCAATTCCGAGGCACTGCGTCACCAGACACTGGTCTGGCTCAGCTGTCCGTCACAGCGGTATACAAATTAAATAAGTGAATAAATACAAGACTCTCCCAAGTCATGCCTGTCCAAATCTTATTTTAGTGAGGAAATCCCAGTCATTGAAATACTTGTGTTTTCCAAATCCTGTTATGGCCAGGAACTCCTCACCACTGTGAGGCTTTTCCTTCCTCAAGTATTGCGGTATCCAGGAAGCCTGCAGTACATTGTGAGGCCATGGTAAATGGTAAAGGACCCCTGGACAATTAGGTCCAGTCAAAGGTGACTATGGGGTGCGGCGCTTATCTTGCCTTCAGGCCAAGGGAGTTGGCATTTATCCACAGACAGGTTTCTGGGTCATGTGGAAACCAGATCATAACTAAACCACTTCTGGTGCAACAGGACACCATGATGAGTGCCAGAGCTTACGGAAGCGCAGGGATGTGGGTGGTACTGTGGTCTAAACCACTGAGCCTCTTGGGCTTGCCAATCAGAAGGTTGATGGTTCAAATCCACGCAACAGGGTGAGCTCCCATTGCTCTGTCCCAGCGCCTGCCAACCTAGCAGTTTGAAAGCACACCAGTGCAAGTAGATAAATAGGTACTGCTGCGGCAGGAAGATAAACGGCATGAGACCATGACTGCCCCTGTTTGTCTGTCTTCCTCCACACCTATGGGGAGGTGCATGTTGCCTCCTGGCCCCTGCAATCTTCCTGGCCCCACAGACTTTTGCTATGAGGTCAGGTGAGAGGTCTTTCTGAGGAGTCCCCACAGGCTCAGAAGGGCCCATCTAATTCTGAATTGAGATAAGTGGTTTTCCATGTTAGTGCATAGAGGACATTTACTGCTTTAATTCAGAATAGCAAACATAAGTTTAGCTTAGTACCTTTTTCTCCCTTGCCTGATTATGGTTCCTGCTTCTGATGTTATTTGAAAGGAGGGTGTTGGCTTGAGTATCTAAATTTAGTATTGATTTAGCATTAAAAGTAATTCATTTCCATTTGCAAATTTGTCCAGTGAGATCTCCGCTTGTAATAATTTAAAGTTAAAGTAAAAAAAAACTTTCACCTTTTATCTCCACAGGGAATTGTGGGCAACTTAGCTAGTGGTAAATCTGCCCTTGTACATCGATATCTGACTGGGACGTATGTCCAGGAGGAATCCCCAGAAGGTACAATGACTGATAGACCATTGGAAGCATGCTTTTATTAAACCTTTATGCTGTCTGTTAGCAACAGTATTTTGTGTGATATTAGCATACAAGGGTATTGTGTTAGAAATTGAAAACCTCCAGGTATAGGGCGGTATATAAATTCAATGAATGAATGAATGAATGAATGAAATTGGAATTTTGCATACTTGCCTCCACATACTCTTAAAAGGAGCAAGCTGGTAATAGCTAGCTTACCTTGTTTCACAAAGTGTACCCAGCTGCAAGAAGTCTGAATGCTAGCAGAATGCTTCCCATTCCCCATCACAACTACTCAGATTTTAGTTGTGAATTCTTCATGTGGGCAATATTCTTAATCTGATTTCATAATTTGCCTCTTAAACTATTTGTGAGGACATCAGTACCAACTCATATTTTAGTCCTTCGCCTTACTGAAGAGGTTGAGAATATAATTTGCATGTCACTTGTTCACTTTATTGTTCCGCTCAATTTTTAGAAACAGCTATAAGAATAAAAAATTGTTAAAACTCTGATATATGGCTAATGGTTGATTTCAGTTGAACAAAGTGGGTTTAGGTTTGAAATTGTATAGAATAAATAGTAGCATCTAATTAAGGTAACACTCACAAAAATTAATATCCTGATATTTTTATTCTCCTTATGAACTTAAAATGCAACTGAGACACTGAATTTCTGGTTCCTTCTTTTCCTTACTGGCTGTTCCATTCTTTGCAGATATGGATGCAGGTAACTATATGTCCTCTTCATAGCAGGCACTTGTTTTGAAGAGAGGAAGCAAAGCTTTTGTACGAGTTTCCCCTTGTTTTGTGTGCCATTTTGTTTCCCTTTGATCTTTAAGTTACAAACGCATCCCACTGTCACCTGCTGTAGATGTCTTAGTAATAGTCATACGTAGAGTCATGTGTCTGTAACAACATCTGTTTGAAATAACATTTCCTAAGGTGCTCTTAACTTCTGTATGCTAACAATAGTTTACAAAGGGAACCCACAAAAGACATTGATTTTGACTCAGAGCTTTCTAACCCCAAAATCTCCCAAATATCTGCTCCAGTAGCCTTTCGGCATCCTTTGTTAATAGACAGGGCGGGGAGAACAGTTAAGTCCATGCTACATTCATTGTTGATTCACTGACTTCACAAGTCAAGGCTAAAGTATGAGAGTGCTACTCCAGTGTTTACAGTCTTTTCTGCCTGAGATGCCTCAGTGTGGTTTTGCATCATAGAGCAAGTAGTAGCGCTGTATATAGAAGCCACAAGAAAGAAGCGCTTGTGCCTGCCCTCAGTTAGCTGCAGAGCAGGATCTGAGCTGGTGGTAGTATGGGGTTTTTTAGAGACTCTTAAAGGCCCCCCGCCCCGCCCCCCATTTTAAATTGAAAGAGAGCTTGCCTGTTTAAATATAGATAACTGGCAGAGTGATTTATCTGTGTCAATACTGAGAATTCTTATCTGGATAATTGCGTTCCAAGGTCCAGGACCACAATATTGTCACTGGCTCGTCTCACTTTTGCTTTCTTGAATGAAAAGTCGCCACAAAATAATCTTCGCTCAAAAGCCACTAAGTGAGGAAAGACCATGATTCGCATAATGAGTTAGCATGTAGAACCCCCAACTCCCCCCAATTCTATGATCTCTGAATTAACCTTAGGGAAAACTGGGACTACAGGAGAATCACTGAGTAAACATATTTACACTTGCTGACGCCAGTACTGTCACTAGCTGGGCACAGTACTGGCATAAAGCTCACCAATTCTTTTAAAACATCATGTACTAAGGGACATGTTTATGGCGAATAGTAGCACCACATCACGCGATTGAAGATTGCTGGGCTTAAAGGTGTGCATGTCAGGAGCGGCTATAGTCCTCTCCCACTGCTAGCAGAAAGTTATGAATGCATAATACGGCAGCAACAGGAGGTGGAAGTTAACAGAATAAAGCCAGCCGTGATAGCCAGCTTCTTTGCTATCCGTTTTGACACTAATGCCTTCATCACTACAAGATAGGTTATTCTTAGTTGTGCTATCTGTTTGCTTTTTTACTGGTCTTAAAGCAGGGCAGAAATTGAGGCGGGAATCTGTAGTTATTAGCTATCATGTCACTCTTATTTCTACACCTTTCCCCACAACTAGTTAGTTGATTGTTTTTTCAATTTCTTTAGGAGAATTTGAAATGCTGTTATGATTCTCCCTGATCTGTCCTCACTTTTTAACCTTGAAAGGATAAAAAAATAAAATAGTTGGGTCATGAAGAAAATATATAAAAAGAAAGTATGTTTTGTAAGCCAAATGTATGCATCTGAGGACTTATCTAATGTCTCTTAACATAGATAGAGACTGTCAAACAATATATGTCTCCTAAAAGATTACTCTCTTCCATGTTGGCTATGGGAGTTATATTCCAACCCATCAGGAGGGCACCAGGTTGAGGAAGGCTGGCAAAAATCCATGGACAGAGAAAAGGTTTATTTGTTGCCAACACTTCATAATGTGATAATGCCTTGCACATCATTTTTCCAATATGGAGGTGATCTCTGTGTATGAAAAATGAAGGTGCCTAAATGTAATTGTGTTAGCTTTCAGATCCCTATAAACCTTTTTTTATGATGTCTCCAATGCATTGTAAAATGAGAATGATTTGTAGTAGCTGAATATAATTGAAAGTATGTATATTTACATATATCTAATATCTGGTACCAGGTAAGGCACAAATCAGGGCCTGCGGCAGGGGAACAAGGAAAAATACCACTCCCCCGTACAAAGATTAAGCGAGATAAGGCCAGCTTGTAGACTCAGTTCTAAGATGGAGACTGCATGTTAAATTGGTCCCTCCCAATGCTACAAATGTATGGTTATTCATTGACTATTCTGGGGTAAAGAAGCAATCTTATTCCCAGTTTCTAAGCAACTAAAGTCTGAATTGTAACTTAGATCTGTCTTGCACTTTAAACAAACAAACTATATTGGTTCTTGGGTGTGTAGACTACCTTTTGCTTCTGCATTCTTGGATGTTTCAGAATATTTCAGAGTAACACTTGGGAGTGGGGTAGGGAATTTGTGTTATGATTATTACAAGGTTTGAGTAGTTTAGCAGCATAGCCACCCTACTGATTATTGGAAATTGTTGTATGTTTACTTTTGGCTTATGTTTACTTTTGGTGATAGGAGTGTTATAGACTGGTATCTGCCTGTTTTATCTGATCATTCTAACACTGAGTAGCAGTTTTAAGAATGCAGGAATTGTATATAAGGGCTACCACAGGACCAGTAAAGTATTTAAAGAAATAATTAGTATTGTTCCCAGGAGCATAGTCACCAGCCATGTTCCTGGGAATGATGCTGTCATGATGCCACATCATTCCCATTGAACCATTCTGTCATACACTCTGGGCAGCTCCCAACAGAATATTAAAAATGTGATAAAACATCAAACATTAAAAACTTCCCTAAACAGGGCTGCCTTCACATGTCTTCTAAAAGTCAGATAGTTGTTTATTTCCTTGACATCGGATGGGAGGGCGTTTCACAGGGCAGGCACCACTACCAAGAAGGTCCTCTGCCTGGTTCCCTGTAACTTCACTTCTCGCAGTGAGGGAACTGCCAGAAGGCCCTCGGAGCTGGACCTCAGTGCCCGGGCAGAATGATGGGGGTGGAGACGCTCCTTCAGGTATACTGGTCTGAGGCCGTTTAGGGCTTTGAAGGTCAGCACCAACACTTTTGAATTGTGCTCGGAAACATACTGGGAGCTCTATTGCCAGTTCATTTTTTCATTAGAGGAAAGAAAGAGGAAACCTTCTTAATTGGTACTCTCATAAAGATTGGCTCACCACCCTTCCCAACAAATGAATAGATTTCACTGCCATCCCAAATGGTCAGACAACTTAGGTCCAATGCTAATTTCTACTACATCCTTTAAAAACCCTACGATTCCCAAGATGGGTTATAGAAGAAATCTTTTAAAAAAATTAAAATACGTATGAAAGAAAACCTAAAAGTTGTAAAATACTTTAAATAAGCAGCATAAAATCCTTAGCCAGGTGCGGAGGAAGGGGGGTGCGGTAGGGGTGGTTCGTACCGGGTGTCACCACTGAGGGTGGGTGACAAAATGCCAGTTTAAACAAGCATCCTCATTTATAATGCATTATTGGAGTCCAATGTGGAAATTACCAGAATATGAATAACTGAATCTAAGCTATCTCTCCAGATAGTATTGCAACCTTGTGAAAGTTGCTCTGTTGCATGGAGACTACCCACAGGTATGCAGTTACACCCCAGGAGAATCTCCTAGACTGTGAAGCTTTAGGGTAGAAGTGGGGAACCTGTGACCTTCCAGATGTTGTTGGAATATAACTCCCATCTTCCCTGACCATTGACTATGCTTGTTGGGTCTGATGGGAGTTGGAGTCCAATAACATCTGGAGGGCTGCAGGTTCCCTATCCCTAGGTTTATTGGCTATCATCTAGTCTGTTAAAAAGCCCAAGCACTAATTCAGTAATTCCACTGTCTCACCTGTGTAGTAGTCCCCCAGTACTATCTTCTGGAATCTTCCACCCAAGCCAAAACTGAACAACCACAATATGATATTCCCCCTCTCCTCCGTAGAAAGCCTGCCAAGAGGGAAGATATGGTCAGTGGTATTGAAATTTTCCAAGACATCTTAGAAAATAAACAGGGCTGCATACTCTTTCTCTTATGATAATCCCGTTCTACTCCATTGCTAATGGTACATGGGGTGCCTCAAGGTTTCATTTTATGCCCTTTCTATTTGACATCAGCATGAAGTGATCTGGGCTAAAGTGTCACCATGATTTGGATGATATTTTGCCCTACCTTCCTTTCCGTCTGGTAGTTCCAGGAGGAGTGTTGAACTTCTAAACTGATGTCTAGAGGCTTTTCTGGGTTTGATGAGACTAAGGAAGCTGAAGTTTAATTAAGTAAGATAGAATTAAGATAGAAGATTCAGGTGGGGATCTTTGATGGGTTGCACTTGCCCTGAAGGATCAGGGTCAGTGTTAGAAACTGAGAGATGAAAACTAGGAGCTAAATGGCACTTTAAACCTAGGTTATGGGCGCAACAAGGGAGTGTCTAGGGGCACTTTTTTATAACAAGAAAACAAAGCTGAAAATGAATGAACTGCAGCTAAAATATTATGTTCAATTTTCACATGTTCTAGTCCTTCCCCTGCGCACCCTCTTAATATTCTTAAGAGGGTCTCTTCTCCAGTCTTCAGAGAGTAGCTGGAAGTGGGGAGGCAGAAAAAGGTCCATCTTTCCTTTTACTCTGCAGTTTTAATCTGAAATCTTAGGCCCAAAGCTCAGAAACTACTTGTGCTAATGAAATTCCCTGTCACAAAAAGTGCCTAGAACAATGGGAGTTTCGAACACTGATCAGGCTCACAGCTTGGGTATGTTTCTGGACTCTTCTCTAACTGGATAAGTTCATGTGGATGCAGTGCCCAGAGCTGTATTCAACCAACTTCAGTAGTACACCAGGTGTGAGATGTTGTACACCTAGAGATGTTGGACCTCGCCATGGTTACTCACACACTGGACATCAGCAAAGAGCTCTGCCCAGGGCTGCCTTTGAAGATGCCTTGGAAGCTACCACTGCCACACTCTGCAGCTCCCTGGCTTTTGTCTGGAGCAAGGTGATCAGATCAGATCAGATCTCACACTGATATTTTGCCACTTATACTGGTTGCCAGTGTGTTTCTGGGCTCAATTCAAAGTTCTGGTGATAACTTTTAAATCCCTGAACAATATTGGACCAAGTTACTTTAGGGACCACTTGCACCTATTTCAGCCTACTCATATCCTAATATCTATATCTGAAGCCTGTTGAGATGATCGCTGGTAAAAACTTTTGGGCACAAGGAACAGCACCCTTCTGAGGTGGCCGCCATTTATGGAATTTAATTGCAATCAAATTCTGTCACTCACTTTTTAAAAAAAATAGCCCTAAAGACATAGTTGTTTTAGAGTGGCCTTTGGGGATTAAATGTGATGTTGGCAGTTGGATTAGAATGGTTGAGGCACATATCTAATGCTAGTTTTGACCTTTGTTAGTCTGTGCCCTGTTTTGCATATCATGGTAAGCTAAACTATGCTTACTGGGATTGCATGAACACTCTGGCTTCCAGAGATGAACTCACACCTGATCTCCTCCTCCCTGGTCCTTTTAGCTCAGCTGAGTATGGCAGCTAAGCCAATGTTTGGTTTAGCATGTTGGCTGAACCCAGGATTGTGGTTACACTCTCCTCTTTAACCACAGTTGATAGCCAATAACAAATCATGACAACAGGTTCATGAGGAAAGAGCTCAACTACGATACTAGTGGTAAGCTTAGCTGCAGTGCAACATCAAGCTGAGCTGAAAGGTCCAAGGAGGAACAAAGTGGATGTGACCTCCCCAGAAACCAGCATGTTTGTGCAAAGTCATGGGATGGCTTAGTGCTGCAAATGTTTTATTGCAATCTGATTTAATAGTTTTACTGTTGTATTTTAATTGATTGACACTGATGTACTTTAGTGATTGCATACCACTTTGTGAGACTGTTGTTATAAAAAGTAGTATAAATGAATGAATAATAAATACAGTGGTACCTCGGGTTACATATGCTTCAGGTTACATACGCTTCAGGTTACAGACTCCGCTAACCCAGAAATAGTACCTTGGGTTAAGAACTTCAGGATGAGAACAGAAATCGTGCTCCGGCGGCGCAGCAGCAGCAGGAGGCCCCATTAGCTAAAGTGGTGCTTCAGGTTAAGAACAGTTTCAGGTTAAGAACGGACCTCCGGAACGAATTAAGTACTTAACCCGAGGTACTACAGTAGTAAACAATTTTTTCAGCCACACAATCATTAGGAAACTAATTGGCAATAATACCTGTGTAAAAGTACAGACCTGTTTTAATTTTCATGTTTTGGCATCATCATAGCTGTCAACTTTTCCCTTTTCTTGCGAGGAATCCTATTCGGAATAAGGGGATTTCCCTTAAAAAAAGGGAAACGTTGACAGCTATGGGCATCATGACCTCTTTGTAAACCCTTTTGTGCGAAATGCTTCAGCATCCAAGAATTGATTTAAAAGGAAACAGCTCATTTGTACTGGAAAACGTTTGATGTAATTAGATACAGAGATCCTATCTTTAGAGCTTATGTTATGCTAACTGGTATGCATTTCATATCAGAGAAACAATATTGCCCTTCAAGTCGAAGAAACTCATGTGTCCTATGTTATAAAGTTGCAGACAACCACATAATAAAACCTGTTACTACTTACTGTACATGGAGTGTGTGTGTGTGCCTGTGCAGCTACAACTAATATATCTGAATAATAACATAAAAGTCTTACTTTGAACTTTTATTCTTAAGTTGACAAGAAGCCTTTAAAAATCTCTTGTAAATGGTGTAGAGGTGTTATTTATGATTTAGTGGTATATAATTTTGTTAAATAAATAAAATAGAAATTTGCGAGATGGAGTAAATGAAGATAATATAAACCCATTTGGTGCTTGCAAGATTTGGCTATCTGTATGGCCCCTGAGTCAGTGCACCTCATGTGTTTGTCATCACATGAGATTTGCCTTTTACATTGAGAGCTCGTTCCAGTAATTGTTTTTACCCTTTTGTCAGCAAAATAATAGTAAAAAATTACAACACCCAATTTAGGACGATGACTGAATATTGTAACGAGAGTCCAGGTAAAAAGAGAAGAAGAAAAGGAGATATTTGATTTTGGAGCTAGATCTCTGCATAACCTAGTGGTAGAAATCATTCAGATTTGTATCCAGCACTGCTGTTCTGCTAGCAAGGAAGACACACACCTGCCCTTCTCACTGCTATACTCCCTGCACACCTTCAAATTCTGTTCCAGAGTGTTGAACACTTCGGAGCAGATTTTGAGGGCATGTAGAAAGACGAAGTCACATTGTGCAAATGGAACACAGTGCATGCAGTGTTGGATACGACCTTCAGTGTTCTATAAAATAGATGGAACTTCACTAGAGGCATGAGTTACAGTTTGTTAGAATGCAAAAAGGATTATTAATCTCAAATTAAGCTCTCAACTCTGAGTCACAGATCCTAACTTTTTGCTCTTTGACTAGATGAGTTGTGCTTCCTCCCATGAACAGAAGCTCTTCCTGAGTGAAAGTTAAGGAACCAAGCTTATGTTAATATTTAGAGAGCTTTTTAGTTGCTCAAGCAAGGAGGCAAAGGGCAAATCATGTTGTGCCCCAGCACAACAGAATTTGCACAGTACATTTCATTTCTTTTACAGAAAAGTAATGTTATTGGGTTGTGTCCAGTTGTGTCCCTCTGTCCTACTGTTCCAGTGAAGGCATTAATTGGTGGAAAGGGTGGGGAAATGATTTTCACAGTTTTCCTCTTCAGACTCCTATGCACACACATACACATCTGCCTAGAAAGTTGGGTAACCCTTTGGAATAATGTGGGATGTGGCATGATGAGTTGTAGAGAAAGGGAGAATTTGCAAAAGTCACTCCCCCACACCACTCCCATAAGTCTTTGTTGCATCAAAGTGGTTTACAATTGGATGTACCCCATTGTATTAAATTATTTCACTTCTAAAGAACATGGCCATAAGAACACATTTTACCACATTTTACCCAAACACTAATTTATACATATATACATGAGTTACAGATAGCATTGATTGCTGCATTCATGTTTGATCAAAGCTCTTCAATTCCACTTGCTACGTACAAATCTAAGAAGACACTATAAGCTTAATTGGTTTTTATTTTTGTTTATTTTTTTCATTTAAAGTGAACTGTTCTTATAAGAGTAAAATAAGCTGCTTTTGGATTTTTTTGCAGTGAATTCAGTTCTACAACAATGGGGGTATTATTTTTAACTTGCTACTTACTACAGTGGTACCTCAGGATGTGAACGGGACCTGTTCCGGAGCCCCGTTCACATCCTGAAGCGAATGCAACCCGCATGTGCGCGGGTCACGATTCGCCACTTCCGCACATGCGTGTGACACCATTTTGACCATCTGCGCATGCGCGAGTGGCGAAACCCGGAAGTAATGCGTTCCGTTACTTCTGGGTCACCGCAGAGCACAACTCGAAAGCGCTCAACCTGAAGCGTATTCAACCCGAGGTATGGCTGTATATGGTATGCTGAAGTATGGCTTACCCAGGACGGCAGACACATGCTGTGTGCCACAGAAGAGCTTTCAGTATTTTGCTCCTCCCTGGTCCAAAGTGATGCAACAGCTGAGCCAAGGGTTGGTTTAGCGTGTCATTCCAACCTGGTCTCATGGTTCTCAACTCATTAACCAAGAGCTTTAGGCAAAGTTTGTACTTGGTCATAGCTCATGGTTAAGGAGCAGAGAGCTTAATCATGAGCCTAGGTTTGGCTGACCCTAAGCCAAATGTTTACTTAGCTGCTGCACTGCAGAGAGCTAAAAGAACTGGAGAAGAGCAAAGCAACTCTGATGTTATTCCTGGGAGCATATATGTTCACACTTAGTCATGGATTGGATGGGAACATAACTGGTATGTGATACTGCTGCAATAATGGTTTTCTACTTAAAAAATATATATTTAAGGAATATTTAAGGAAATACGCAAAATACTTAATATCTAAATGGAAAAGTGATTTAAATGCTATGAAACTAAGGATACAATCCTATAAACACTTAGCTGGCAGTGTGTCTCACTAAGGTTAATGATAGTTACTTCTGAGTTGTCGGTTACCCTCTTCATCCCTGGTCAACATAGTCCAAACTATGTATTTACAGACTAATTCCCTGTTCCTTCAACATATGAAGGTCACATGAGTTTCCAGTGTAGGACAAGTGCCTTCACTTTCTGAGGCATTGTTTAAATCCATACTGAGACTTTCAGCAGGCCAAATTGGGTAATCCCTTCTTAGTCTATTACACTAGAAAGCCTGAACATGTTTTTGCATTATCTTCACTCTGTCATGTGAGAGAAAGGATGGTGCTTAAAATATTATTTGATTTCAGAGGAGTTACCACTGGATGTTTAAGCTTGAGGTACAGCTGTGCGTGTGGTTCCCCTGCCCCCTTTTCATGTGCTAAATACCCTCCTTTCAAAATAAATTCTTTGTGCAGATTAAAGATTCATAAACTTCGTCGTTTTCTAACTGAAACCTACAACAGATACTGTTATAGTAAATTTTCTTTTTTTGTCTAACACATGTTGTAGTAGTATAGTTTTTTCCTGTAGTAGTGAGATATCATTTTCATAATGTGTGTTTTGCTTTGTAGAACTAGGCTTCTCTTGATGAAAACTAAAAGCTCAAGCAACTGAACGCAGATGTATGAAGAGAGCACTCACACAGCTGGATTGTTCATATTTTTGAAATTTAGTTATTACTCATTTTTTTTTGAAACCAGAGCACCAAACTAAAAGTTGGATTGTATGCCTCAGTTATTTTGAATGGGGTAGAATTTTTTATTCAAACTGAACTATAAATGCACACTGGAACATGTCTTTCTTTGTTATCTTCTCTGTAGCATTCAGTAAAATATTAATAGCTGTAATGCCACAACATGTTTCAGATAAGTAGGAGTAGTTTTCCTCAAGAAAAGCCTTTATTATTCTGTGTTTGTAACTTTTCTGTAACTAGTTGTTTTGTGTGACAGGTGGGAGATTCAAGAAGGAGATAGTAGTTGATGGACAGAGTTACCTGCTGCTGATTAGAGATGAAGGTGGTCCTCCTGAGGCACAGGTGAGCACACTGTTTAAGTGATATTAACAGAATGAAAAATTGGTGACAAATGCCACACCGTTATGCCAGAGTGTAAACTGGTGGAATCAGTGCTTGCTCAGTGCTGTCAAAATTTTAAAAAAAGTTCTTTCATAAGCTACACCCGAATCAGCCCTCATAGCCTGTTTCCCACTAAAAAGCCCCTGAATTTGCCAGTAGGAGCATAACCTCCAGCAGCAGAACCAGTCTAGTAATACTATAGGTTTGGATACGTTCAACTTTCCGCTCTGCAGATTAATGATCTGAAGAGCAGATATTATATGATTTTCTTAGCCATCCCAATGCTTCCCCCTGGGCCTGTTTGTCCTCTGCTTCTGCACCCTCTTTTTGTTGTTCAACTCTTTTCAAGTGTATTTTCAGGTGTGCACAGACACAAACGTGTCATAATAGCATACTAATTAAATACCCAATAAACATGAGAGAGAATGAGTATGAGTCATGTCCCATATTTTGGCATTGACCCTATTTAAGGAGCTTAAGATATCATAGAATTGTAGAGTTGGTACCCCAAGGGTCATCTATCCAATCTCCTGTAATGCAGGAATCTATGACAGATGGCCACCCTACCTCTGCTTTAAAACATCCACCGTCTCCAAAGGGAGACCGTTCCACTGATGAACAGCTCTTCCTGTCAGAAAGTTATTCTAATGTTTAGGTGGAATCTCTTTTCTTGTAGTTTGGATCCATTGCTCCGTGTCCGCTTCTCTGGAGCAGCAGAAAACAGCCTTTCTCCCTCCTCTATGTGACATCCTTTTATATATTTGAACATGGCTATCATATCACCCCTTAACCTCCTCTTCTCCAGGCTAAACATGCCCAGCTCCCTTAGCCGTTCCTCATAAGGCATCGTTTCCAGGCCTTTGACCATTTTGGTTGCCCTCCTTGGACGACGTTCCAGTTTGTCAGTGTCCTTCTTGACTGTGGTGCCCAGAACTGGACACCAGTACTCCAGGTGTGGCCCTGACCAAGGCGGAATACAGTGGCTCTGTCACTTCCCTGGATCTAGATACCATACTCCTATTGATGCAGCCTAGAATTGCATTGGCTTTTTAGCTGCCGCGTCACACTGTTGGCTCATGTCAAGTTTGTGGTCAACCAAGACTCCTAGATCCTTTTCACATGTACTGCTCTAAAGCCAGGTCCCCCATCTTGTATTTGTGCCTCTCATTTTTTTTGCCCAAGTGCAATACTTTGCATTTCTCCCTGTTAAAATTCATCTTGTTTGTTTTGGCCCATTCTCTAATCTGTCAAGGTCGTTTTGAAGTGTGATCCTGTCCTCTGGGGTGTTAGCCACCCTCCCAGTTTGGTGTCATCTGCAAATTTGATCAGGATGCCCTTGAGTCCATCATCCAAGTCGTTGATAAAGATGTTGAATAAGACCGGGCCCAAGACAGAACCCTGTGGCACCCCACTAGTCACTCTTCTCCAGGATGAAGAGGAACCATTGATGAGCACCCTTTGGGTTCTGTCAGTCAGCCAGTTACAAATCCCACTGAGTGGTAGCATAGTCAAGACGCATTTAACCAGCTTCTTTACAAGAATATCATGGGGCACCTTGTCAAATGCCTTGCTGAAATCAAGGTAGACTACATCCACTGCGTTTCCCTTCATCTACCAGGCTTGTAATTCTGTCAAAAAACGAGATCAGGTTAGTCTGACATGACTTATTTTTCAGAAATCAGCAAGGGATACCCACATGACCTGAAAGTGTTGCTGTGAATGCCATGTCAATGATGAATTAAAACCACTGCCATCCACGACCTGATTGTGGATGGAGGATTTTGACCTGGCATGTGTGACAGAGACCTGGTTGGTTGAAGCAGATGGGCCTGTCCTTGCCGCTGCTTGTCCACCAGGTTTCTCTTATTGCACAGCAACCCAGGCCTTGGGGGGGGGTTGCAGTGATTTTCAGGAAGTCACTAGTTTGCACCCAGGCGTCCTATTGGGAAGACCCAGTTCTCTGAGTACATGTTCTGGAAGTTGGGCATAGGGGCAGTACAGGATTCCTTTTGGTGTACCGACCTCCCTGCCTGCACCAAGGATTCCCTGCCTGAGCTGCTTCAGGTCGTGGCAGATGTGCTTCTGGAGACATCTAGTTTGGTTGTCCTGGGGATTTCAACATCCATGCCGACACGACCTTACAAGGGGCTGCTCGGGACTTCGTGGAAAGCATGGCCTCCATGGGGCTGTCCCTGAATAAGTCTGGCCCAACCCATAGCCGCGGACATGCCTTGGACCTGGTGTTTACCTCTATGGATGCTGGTGATCTGACATGAAGTAAAGGCGAAACGAAAGAAGTGTCATGGTCAGATCACTTCTTGGTGCAACTGGATTTCTCCACGACCCTTCCCCTCTGCAGGGAGGTGAGACCGATTCGGATGATCCGCCCCCACCACTTAATGGTCCAAAACAAGGACATATGTATAATAATTTGTGTGGTATGTCTTAAAAAAATTTTGTATGCTAAAATTAATAAAACAATATTATTGGGGGCGGGAGAACATTCCCAGAGAAACTACAACTAATCCAGAATGCAGCAGCTAGACTGGTGACTGGGAGCGGCCGCTGAGACCATATAACACCAGTCTTGAAAGACCTACATTGGCTCCCAGTTACGTTTCCGAGCACAATTCAAAGTGTTGGTGCTGACCTTTAAAGCCCTAAACAGCCTTGGTCCAATATACCTGAAGGAGCGTCTCCACCTCCATTGTTCTGCTGGGACACTGAGATCCAGCGCCAAGGGCCTTCTGGCGGTTCCCTCCCTGTGAGAAGCCAAGTTACAGCGAACCAGGCAGAGGGCCTTCTCGGTAGAGAAAAATAACTACCAAACTTTTAGAAGACATCTGAAGGCAGCCCTGTTTAGGGAAGCTTTTAATGTTTAACAGGTATTGTATTTTCGTATTTGTTGGAAGCAGCCCAGAGTGGGCAGGGTATAAATAAATTATTATTATTAAATTAATTAAATGGAAAATGTGCGGCAGGACTTTTATACATCCTAGTTTTAAACACGCATTAACAAAACTCAGCCCTGAACTTGTTTGCCAAAGATGCCTCTTTGGTGGATCAGCCTCGGCTATCTATTTTTTTAAAAAAAAATTTTAAATAATTTTTTATTGGTTTTCCAACACATAATAAAAACAAACCATACACAAAACAAAAACATACAAACATATAACATGTATAATTTCATAGTCTTATTTTCATACACCTTACTTCCCGGACTTCCCCATACCTCCCCTTCTCTGCATCCTTGTTTTACATTTCTTCAGCAACTCCTTCATTAATTAATTATTTCAATCACTTTCATTAAATTCTTTTTCTTTAACTTATTAATTTCAGCTGCAATTCTCTATTCTTAATTCCTTAACATCTTAACACTCCTCAATTTTACAACAATTTTAAAGATATATTTTAAATTTCTTCCAGTCTTCTTCCACTGTCTCTTTCCCCTGGTCACGGATTCTGCCGGTCATCTCTGCCAGTCCCATATAGCCTCGGCTATCTAGCTACATGATGCGCAGCTCCATTCTGCCGAAAGCTCCCTCCCACAACTGTCTGTGCAGAGGGCCAGACTAGATGTGGGCTTGAATCTTATGTGTGTGTATTTGCCTTTAATGTCCAGGTTTTTCTGTTGGAGTCACAGCAGGCACACACAGGGATCTAACCCTTTCTTCCCTTGCTGCAGTTCTGAGGAAAACCCCTTCTCTGAAACAGATGTTTGTTTCTAGAACAGGCATGTCCAACTTCAAGTAGGCTGCTATCTACTAACAATTATCAAAAACTGGCAGTGATCTACCACCCTCTGAAGTCATTTAAGTTTACAAGTAAATAAATGCATCTTTATTTCACAGATACAGTAGTTATGTTTGGATATCATCATGACAGATCCAAATAGTTACTAGATGGACAATTAACTAAAGAAGTGAGAAAAGTCGAACGATGTTTTTATATTAGTTTACACAATCTGAGGAACCAGCTTCTCTCTCTGTGTGTGCTAGCTTTTCCCCTTCCGAGTTGCTTCCTAACTTGCTCCGTGATTCTCCTTCTCTCTCTCCCTCCCCCCCCCCCACCTCAGTCTCTCTCCTTCTGTTGCGTTAAAGCCCCCAGCTCAACTCTGATCTCAACAACTCTGGTCAATCCAATGGGTAGATCACTGCCAGTTTGTTTATAGTGGGAGTAGATTGCAGTCTCTTGGAAGTAGGACACCCCTGCAGTGGAATGTTAAAATTAAATCTTTAATCTATTCTCCTGAGCCCTTGGATCCAATGATTAAACTATAAGACAGGCCAGTTTCTTAAAGAGACAATCGCCTGGCGGTTGAGCCATTAAGCAAAGGGGAACCGTCCCTGCAGCTCAGAATTCCTTAGGAGGGTTGGCTGTGATGTGACCCAAAGGGGGAAAAGGTTGCAGGTTGCAGGTTGGACATCTGGGGGAAAGGATTAGAGCATGATGGTTGGTTTCTGTCCAGGAATCCAAGGCTGCCCCTATGGCAGGAGCAAGACCTTCTTGGAGGGTTAACATTGTGAACCCCTCCATCATAGGCTCATAGAATCATAGAGTTGGAAGAGACCACAAGGGCCATCGAGTCCAACCCCCTGCCAAGCAGGAAACACCATCAGAGCACTCCTGACATATGGTTGTCAAGCCTCTGCTTAAAGACCTCCAAAGAAGGAGACTCCGCCACACTCCTTGGCAGCAAATTCCACTGTCAAACAGCTCTTACTGTCAGGAAGTTCTTCCTAATGTTTAGGTGGAATCTTCTTTCTTGTAGTTTGGATCCATTGCTCCGTGTCCACTTCTCTGGAGCAGCAGAAAACAACCTTTCTCCCTCCTCTATGTGACATCCTTTTATATATTTGAACATGGCTATCATATCACCCCTTAACCTCCTCTTCTCCAGGCTAAACATGCCCAGCTCCCTTAGCCGTTCCTCATAAGGCATCGTTTCCAGGCCTTTGACCATTTTGGTTGCCCTCCTCTGGACACGTTCCAGTTTGTCAGTGTCCTTCTTGAACTGTGGTGCCCAGAACTGGACACAGTACTCCAGGTGAGGTCTGACCAGAGCAGAATACAG